AACTCATTAAATTAATTGTTCCATTGTCTTTCCACTCTCCACAATCATCAGCCCCCTTGGGATACCAAGAAGAAAGCAGAAGGGAAAGTTTTCAGTCAATGTTTTGTCAATAGAGACAGCATAGAGGAAGTTGGATTTATTTTCCCCAAGGGGGAAACTGTTCTTCCTTTGGTTTAACTTAAAAGTGCCAAGGTTTCCCTTTACAGAAAATTAAATTTCTATAGGCATCCAAACTCAGGCATCATCTCTCTGAGATGTGCTAGTGTTGAGTAATGTTTGGAGGTTTTGTGGAGTTCTTGTTGTCCACAATTTTATAGAGGCAAAGATGTCCTTTCTTTTTAATTTTTTCTTAATTTTTTAAACTACTTTATGAAAGTATGATTGAAATGTAAAGACCTGTACATATTTATTGTATACAACTTGATGAGTTTGGGGATACGTATATATCCATCAATTCATCACCACCATGAGGCCAAAGACATACATGTCAATATCCTCCCCAAATTTCCTTCAATCCCCTTTATATTTAAATGTGTGATAACCACATTTAACATAGGATGTGCAATTTAGCCAATTTTCAATTTACAATACATTATTATTAGCAATAACCAATAAGCTGTGTAGTAGACCTCCAGGACTTATTTCGCATGCATGTCTAGAACCCTGTAAGTTTTGACAATTATCTTCCCATCTCCTCCTCCCCAGTCCCAGGCAACCACCATTCTCCTCCAAAGAAGTCCTTCCTCAGGAAAGCAAATTTGGGAGCCATATTTCTGCGAAAATGACTAACAAAACCGGGACAGGAAAAATCCTTTGGCATTTACTGGAGACGTGGAGCCTTTGTTGATATGAGGATATAATTTATTTATTTGATTATTTTGAGGCAGACTCTTGCTCTGTATCCCTGGGTAAAGAGAGTGCCATGGCATCATCACAGCTCACTGCAACCTCAAGCTGCTAGTCTCAAGTGATGCTCCTGCCTCAGCCTCCTGAGTAGCTAGGAATACAGGTGCATCACGACACCCATTGAACTTTTCTATTTTTGGTGAAGATGTGTCTTACTTTTGCTCAGGTTGGTCTGCAACTCCTGAGCTCAAGGGATCCTCCCAGAGTGCTAGCGTTACATGTATAAGCCACCGCACCTGGATTAGGGCTCCATTTATTACCTCTAAATGGAAAGGCAGGATGATAATAATCCAGGTAGAGTCGGTTGAAGAGTGAGGATTGAGGAAATATAGGTGGCAAATGCACAATGGCTCTACACCTTTTCAATGAAGGGAAGAAGAGAAATAAAGCAAAGCCTAAAGACAGTGTGGAGTATTGGACACTTCTACAAAAAAATGTTTTAATTAGAAGATATGGGAATATGTTTAATGTCAAAGAGAATAAATATAGTAAATGCAGGCATTGGAACACACAGGAAATACCCCTTACAATATTGGCAGGAGGTAATATATACTGTTAATCACACAAATATCAAAAAGTATCATAACCTGATATACAGAATACATGGGCCCAGAAAGCAAGGGTTGGAATCACAAATGTCCTTGTCTAACATTCCTCCCAAAGAGCTGCTTAGGGAGTTAGTGCCTCTCATCTCTACAAGTCTGGCTTCTCTTGATTTAGAAGTCTTGACTCCTTAAAGGGATGGCTCTTCTAGAGACACGGCAAAGTCCTGGTCCTCAGAAGCTCTTCACTCTTGCAAGGAACATTTTAATAGTGAAGGTCCCACTTAACATTCAGCTATACTTCTTGCCAGGGTGTTTTAGAGTCCTGAGGTCCAGGGATCAGCAGAAAACAAGTGTCAATATCTTTTCCTTTTGGTGGCTTGATTGATATACCATAAAATATACTGGTTTAAAGCATCCAGTTTGATGGTTCCTTGTATATTCATGGAATTGTGAAACCATCATCTTGATCAAATCATAGAATATTTTCACCGTCACCAAGGAAACAGGGCACCCAACAGCAGTCACATCCCATTGTCTTCCTTTCTCCCTACCCTAGGCAACCACTAATCTATTTTATGTCCCTACTAGCTTGTCTCCATATAAATGGAATCATACCATCATAAACTATGTTTCCTTGTGTGTTGCCTTGCTATGTTGCCTTGCTTCTGTCAGTTCCTGTGTTTTCAAGGTTTATCCAAGTTTTCTCCAAAGTTTTCTCCTATGGAATGGAGTAATGTATTTGCAAAGCATATATCAGATAAAGAGCACATATCCAAAATTTATGTAACTCAAGCAACTCAATAGTGAAGAAATAAATAGCTCAATTAAAAAGTAGGCGAAAGATCTGAATAGACATTGCTCAAAAGAAGATACACATTTCTACCCATTACTGGAACCAAAAAAGAAGGAGGAGGAGGAGGAGAGAAGAAGAAAGAGGAAGGAGGAGGAGGAAGAGAAGAAATATACAAATGGACAACAGGTATATCAAAAAAGGTCAACATCATCAACCATCAAGACTGTAAATTAAAAGCACTATAGAATATCACCTCACATCTATGAGAATGGATATAAAATGTGGTGTATATATAAACAATGTTCAGCCTTTAAGAGGAAGAAAATCTGTTATTTGCTCCACATTGATCAACATGGAGGACCACATGTAAAGTGGCATAAGGTAGACTAGGTGGACAAAACACAGGGTGAACTCTCCCATAGGTGGAATCTACAAAAGTCCAGCTCATGGAAGCAGACAGAAACATGGTGGGTACCAGAGGATGCCAGGTGAAGGGATTGGGTAGATATTGGTCAAAGGACACAAAATTTTATATATATTGAAGAAATAATTTCAAAAGATCTACTATATATGGTGATGAGTATTGTTCAAAACAATACATTTTATACTTGAAGAATGATAACACCAAGGCCAGGGAAATTGTTTGCAAAACATATATTTCATAAGGGTCAAATTATCCAGAATTTATAAAGAAATAGTACAAATCAGAAACAAAAGTAAAAACTATGCAATTAAAAATGAGCACAGACTTGGAAAGACATCTCTCCTCTGAAGATACACAAATTGCCAACAAACAGGCAAGCAGACGGCCAATGAGTCAGTAGGGAAATGCAAATGAAAAACACAGAAAGATGCCACTTAACACCTACTAAGAGGATATAGTCTTTTTTAACTACACTGCTCATGGGGCTGCATTATTAGTTCAACCTCTGTGGAAAGCAATATGGAGATACCTTAAAGCGATGCAAGTGGATCTACCATTTGATCCAGCAATCCCATTACTGGGCATCTACCCAAAAGAACAAAAGACACTCTATAAAAAAGACACCTGCACTGGAATGTTTATAGCAGCACAGTTCACAATTGCAAAGTTGTAGAAACAACCCAAGTGCCCCTCAATACATGAGTAGATCAATAAAATATGGTATATGTATACCATGGAGTACTATTCAGCTATAAGAAACAATGGTGATAATAGCACATCTTGTATTTTCCTGGATAGAGCTGGAACCCATTCTGCCAAGTAAAGTATCCGAAGAATGGAGAAACAAGCACCACATGTACTCACCAGCAAATTGGTATTAACTGATCAACACCTAAGTGGACATACAGGAATAACATTTATCAGGTGTCGGGCAGGTGGGAGGGATGAGAAGGGGATGGGTATATACGTACATAATGAGTGTGAGGTGCACCGTCTAAGAGGTGGTCATGCTTAAAGCTTTGACTCGAGGGGGGGCAAGGGCAATATACATAACCTTAACATTTGTACCCCCATAATATGCTGAAATAGAAAAGAAGGAAAATAACAAATATTGGAAAGGATATGAAGATATAGGAGAACTAAACCATTACTGAGAGGTAAACAGTGCCAGCTGATATGACACACGATATGGCACTTCATCCAAAAGTTAAACACGTAAATAACATATGACCCAGCAGTGGGACTGCCAGGTACATTCTCCAAATAGGTGAAAATAAGTATGGAGCAAATAAATTTACATACCATTCACAATGGCCCACAGATGAAAATCACACGAATATTCATTAATGAATAATAGATAAACAACTTGGGGTTTATTATACAGTGGACTATTACTCAGCCATAAAATGGAATGGAGCAAGTTAACATTAACCATTAACATCACCAAGAGGAAGGGAAGAAAAGGGAGGAGAGGTGAGGGAAAGAAGGAAGAAAGGTAGGAAGGCTAGTAGAGAACAAAGAAGGAAGGAGGATAGTAGAAAATAAGGAAGGAAGGAAAAGAAGGAAGGAAGGAAGGAAGGAAGGAAGGAAGGAAGGAAGGAAGGAAGGAAGGAAGGAAGGAAGGAAGGAAGGAAGGAAAATGCAGGGATCACTAAGAAGGAAGCAACATCTCCAACTTGTCTTAGGCAGTATGTCACTGTGAATCATATCAATGAACATGATTTCCAATCCAGATTCCAGCATTTGTGTTGAAAATCCCATCACTGTCCCTGGGAATTGCAGGATAGCAATGTCAGGAGTGTGAACTCATCATCATTTTCTAGAACCTAGCCCATCTGAACTCAGTCTCCCTTTGAGCAATGGGTTGCATGAGAGACCATAGCACAAAGATATGTTTTCACAATAACATTCACACATGTAAAGCAACAAAGAGAGCCCTGGTAGAGTAAGCGCTTGGCTGGTATTGTAAGATTGTCATTGCATTTCTTGCATCAAGAGCAAGAGCACAACCAAACTGAGGTGAGGAAGAGTAACATGCAAGAGGAGAGTTTTTAAAGAAATCATGTGAGTACTTGATATGAGAAGTACTTTAAATGTCAAGTTAGAAATCTCAGGAATGGCCCCAAGAAAACTGATGAGAATTGGAACTTTAAGGCTCAGGTTTAGGGGAGAAAAGTTCAAAAGAAATTACAGAGAAAGTTGTTGAGGGAAAAACATATAAGAGCAGACTCTTAGGTGCTCAAGAAATAAACAAAAGAAACATGAAATTTAAAGGAGGAAGAGTACCAGGATATTTAAATTCACATTTGTCTTGGAGGCCCACAACGTCCACTTAGTTCTGAGCCAGTGATGTGTCCATCACAGGCAAGAGGCTGCCGTGCTGAACAGTCTTCCCAGGGCCCCCTTCACGTCCTTGTTTCTCAGGCTGTAGATGAAGGGGTTCAGCATGGGGGTGACCACCGTGTACATCACTGAGGCGATGGCGCTGCTCTGGGAAGAAGGGGTCATAGCAGAACTGAGGTAGACCCCAAGTCCTGTTCCATAGAACAAGCAGACCACACAGAGGTGAGACCCACAGGTGGAAAATGCTTTGTATTTGTTGGCAGTGGAGGACACCCTCATCAAGGAGGAGACGATCTTAGAGTAGGAGTAGAGGATCCCTGTGAGGGGAAATACGCCCAGCAACACAGCCGACAGGTACAAGCAGATGTTATTGATGAAGGTGTCAGAGGAGGCCACCTCCAGAACCTGAGCCAGCTCACAGAAGAAATGTGGGATTTCAGTTTCTAAGGAGAAAGTCAGCCTCATTATCAGTAGAACATGAACCAGAGCAACCAGGGACATGATGACCCAAGACATCAGGACCAGCAGGGCACAGAGGCTGGGGTTCATGATGACCGTGTAGTGCAGGGGGTGGCAGATGGCCACGAACCTGTCAAAAGCCATCACGGTCAGGAGGAAATTATCCAGTCCACCAAATATCATGAAAAAATACATCTGAGTGAGGCATCCCATGTAGGAGATGTCTTTGCTGTGTGTGTCGATGTTCACCAGCATCTTGGGGACGGTGGTGGAGGTGAAACAGATGTCTACAAAGGACAGGTTGGAGAGGAAGAAGTACATGGGGGTGTGCAGGCGGGAGTCAGAGGAGACGGCCAGGATGATGAGCAGGTTCCCGAGCACCGTGACCAGGTACATGGACAGGAATAGCCCGAAGAGAACGGGTTGTAGTTCGGGATCATGTGACAGACCCAGGAGGAGAAATTCTGATACATCTGTGTGGTTTTCTGCTGCCATGTAGTTAGCGTGTCTGCTGGGGAAGGAGGAAGATGGAACATTTCATGAGAAGACAACTGCCACCTCAGTTAGTTATCACATCACAGTGTCACCCTTGGATGGATGCCATTTATGCCCAGTAGAGTCCTTTCAAAGACTGTGATTCCCTCAACTGAGGGGGTAGCCCATTTATATTTCAAATGTGTAGAGTTACCTAGACTTCTTTCCATTTAGCAGCAATTTCTCCATTTTATCATCTACTCACAGAACTCAGTCAGTTTTAATTCTCATGTCTGAACCTATGGGCATTAACTAATTTCTTTGATAGACTCCCTCCAAATTATTCAAGACATATCCTGCCTTTTCTTGAGAATCTCTATTCTGCCTTCATTCTAATGCCTGTACAATAGTGATTACCACATGGATTTGTCAATGGAACCTTCTTTTCTGTGACTTGACATTTCCTATTGATGGGAAAGTTTCCTCTTAGTGTCTTATTTTTGTTCTGAAAACGTGTTCATTTGTATTATCTTGTTGTGAGGTTTAAAAATACTTTTGTGTACAAATAGCCTCCATGAATAATATTTGTCATTATTATTATTAAACTCCCCCTTGTAGCACAATAATTTTGGATCTGTAACTATTGCAAAATACAGTATAGAGATAAGGAAGACAATGTTTTATTGGGTCAGTCTTCCTGCAAAAGAAATATTGATTCCCCAGCTTACTACAGTGTGACCGTCAGAAAGTTATTTAAATCATTAGCTGTAGATACCTCACCTCTATCATGGGAGTAGTAAATATGCCCTATATTTATTGAAGGGAAAAATTAAGCAAGATGGTGCATGCCATTATCCACCATGATGCCTGGGGCATACAAACGGACAATTCATAATTGTGAGATTCCATTATTAACATGACAATGAATCTGTCTTGCATGCCCATCATTTATCAATGATGGGCAACCATTTGGAGCAACCATCC